ATATATATATATATATATATATATATATATATATATGTGTGTATATATACTTATACATATATTTATATTTTAACAATTAAAGGATTATATTGTACGCGTCTTGCATTTACTAATTTTTTACTCGCTCATATGTAAATTACACCAAATATTTTATCGTTCATGCATATATTTCAACTGTGACATACGCAGTTACACATTTAACAATGTGTACTGAATTCAAATTATATTCACATAATACATAAATGAAACTAATGAATAACAACTTTACTTACTAACTAATATTCACTAGACATATGCGTAGTGTTTTCTCCATGTGTTTATATTATACATTCTATTTTTTATTGCATGATATTACACATTTATCAAATTAAACTAAATTTGTATCACGTTATTCCGTAGAAACTTCTACATAACGTGGCCAAGACTTCTCTTTCACCAGCCAAATTCTGTCCAAGGCAGCACCTTCTTTATCATCGGACACCTATTGTACGATGGAAACAAAAAATTTAGCAAATTTCTTAGGATATTCGAGACACTTCTAAGATTCATATTACATACCTGTTCCAGGTACAGATGAGTTTTATTGAATATTTTCATCCTTGTGTATCCATAGTCTGAGCTACGATATGCGGACCATTCTGGTCGTTTTGGGACAAATTTCTCTCGACCTTCTTTGCAGCCAGCTGATCCTGTAATTATATGTACAGGAGCTTTGTAATTTTTATATGGCTCCTCATAACTACCATTGTACACCTGCAATTACATTTTTTTATTGTTACTCTGCGAATTCTTTCCAAAAAAGGAATAACATAATAAGAGACAATTACTTGGAAGTTATACATGGGCCACATTCTTTCATAACTATGTTCATGCGCCCATATCTCCAAATCTACTTTGTGCTTGAAGAACAAATCTTCCAGCCCAAACCAATTTAGAAATGGCAACCCAACTCTAACTAAACTTTGGTGATTGGTGCAGTCGTCTGCATTTGCATTGCTGCAATACATTGGCCTGTGCCCAAATGTTACTATCCACGGCCGCTGAAATCTGCAACAATAATTCTGTTAACTTTTATTCTCATTAAGATCTAATTGATGATATACCTTGCTTCGGGTTTATTTGCTTCCCGTAGATCCTTGTCCAACCATTCATACTGTTTGATCAATTGTTTTATACCATAATTCATAAAATAATAAGCTTCAGTTTCTATAGCTACGAAATGTACAGGACCTATATTGAAACTGTACCACAAGCCTTCTGAGTCACCAGGCATCGTGAATCGTGCTCTGGAAAATCCATTGAAATGTCAACTTTTGACAACAAGTGAAACTTACCGATATTACTCAAACCGACCTGTAATTGCTAAAATTGTATTTTTCTTCGTGATTACCAGGTACAGTCATGTATGGTACATAAGCGGCGATAGATTCAATTTGTCGCATGAATTCATCACCTACACGTGCGTCATCAGTGTGCATATCATAAGCAAAATCACCAACGTGAATAGCAGCATCGTATAAGCCAAGTTCTGTCTCTTCTTGCAACCGTGGCAAACTCTGTGCGTTCTCATTACCCATGTCACCAAAGATAACTATCTGTGGTGACCAATCTATAGATTCTTTAGGTGCAGTCCTTATGTAAAATATACTTGACCATCCATAGCGACTACCGCAATGATATACTGGTAACAAGAGGCAAAATAAATATTGCTATTAAAAATATGAAACATTAACAGTAAAAAGAAAATAAGATATATAGCTTACTGTATTTGCTGTTAGGATTTAAATTTTTTAGCCATACTCTATGAATATATTGTTTTTGCTTTTTAGCTCCACCATCGATGAAAAGAGTAGAATTTCCTTTAGCTCGGAGAACAAGCCCACCTATGCCATATTCTACTATTGATTCTTTAGTGTCATTTCTTGTGCTCCATGTTACAACAACATCATGAATGTTATCTGAAGATCGTACAGAATAATTAGGATTACTCGTATTTCTAGTTGCTATTGTTCAAAGAAGCATTAAACAGTCCACAAGTATAGCTTTTACTGAGAGATTGCAAACTTCATGTAGTTTATATATATTGAAATAATAAAACTTACCTCCGTATGAAAGATGTACAGCTTCTGGCTGATAATATAGCACACCAAACGCAGTAGAAAGGAAGGATAAAATTATAAACGTAATACGCAGAAGCATTTTGTCTACAACAAAAATTTTATTATTAAATCACATTTCACTCGACTATTACACACTATGTACGCGAGTATATTGGAAAAGAATTTCGTTCTGCTGCGTATACTGAATTTATATTTGCAAATAGACCGATTTATAAATGACGCTATTAAACTTGTTACACCTACCAATTTAATACGTCAATCGTGTCACGCGAGTGTCAACCGTTCCAGAAAGCTGTACAGAAATAACTGCATATCTGGGCGTGCGTGCGTCGGAAACAAAGAGCAATTACGCATTATCTAGAAAATGTACATGTTGTCTACATCCGCTTATCATAGTGATTAATGCTCTAAATATGGCATTTAAAATACTTGACTTCTTTGTTGATTTCCGGCAATAATACTGTAACTAATCAATGGAGCGATAAGACGCGTACACACTCGAAACAAGCTTGCTCGCGACATCGCTCGATGGCGTCAGGTAAACTTTTACCATGCAGAGGATTGGTAATTATTTGAAAAGTGTAGTTTCCAAATAATCCGCTACGAGCCGCTGTCATTCCAACTGACAAATCGAGATCATAGAACGTTTCAACGACAAACTTCTTTTATTTCCAAGCAGAAAGACTTTTAATTCGAGAGATCTTTGATATTGGATGATTGCGATAATAATTACAAGGTAATCGATTGTTCTCAATGTTTTATATCAATCAGATTAGCTTTTACTATTCTTAGTGGTACAACTCAATAACGGATCAGGCAACTTGTGTGTTCAAATGATACGACTGAAACGTAGATTGGAAGGACTTTTATTTTCAAATAAAATTCTATATAGTATGCATACGTTATTATGATTGAAATAATCCAACTTGCGCATCATAAACTGATTCTCCCGCATAAAAATGTATGTGTACGTTGCATATTATTATAAATATAAGCGAGAGATATTTCGTCAAGAAAGATAAGAGAGAAAACAATACGAACATGTTGTGCAAACTGGGATGCAAGTTGAGCGGATTTATAAGGCACGATTGGATCTGTAGACGTCCATTCGTAATTTTAATCGTGCACACCAGCATAGAATTATCGTTTAATGAGGAATAAAATCGCGAAAGTTAAAAACGTGTGATTTAGCAGTTCCGCTTTAAGCGAGATCTAAGGATGTTTAAGCAAAATTCAAGTAAAAACTCGATTTACGAATAACCACGGGTTACCATTAATCCGTACTTGAAGTAAAATGTTGCCGTCGATCGTAGACAATAGGACGGCGTTGCGTATTCCGTACGACGATAATGCAATTACATAAGACAGGAGCTGAAGAAAGGAGATCGCATGTGTACGTGCGATCGAGCGAGAGAGAGAAGGCAGAAAGGCAGTTACCAAACTAACATCCCCTATATTGATCTTACGGTCTTGCAGTTCTCTCTGTTCCGCCTGCACGCGTTTCCCGTGCACGTGCACCTGCAGGAACGTGCGAGGATCTTGCGGCTCCCCGAAGATAAACAGGTATTAGATATTTATGCCCATACGATAGTCCCCATTTCAAAGCCGACCAAATTCTCCAAAACTTTGCGAATAACTGTGTGGAGATTCTTGAAACGTTTGTGTTCGTAGAATTTACATAAGAGTAATTCAACGATAATCAAGATGTTGTTCGTATCAGAAACGTATTTTATTGTCAAATTTCATTTGCGTAGAAACGATTATTCATATATCGAAATTATTGAAGCTTCATATTATTTCCGAATTGTGACAACGTGCTTTGATGGTGGGAGATCAGTATTTTTGTATAAATCGGATCTTCAAGTATATCGTTCGTAAATCTCTCGTAATCTTCAATTCTTTGTACATCCGTATCACGTATTTCAGTCTGTTACGATTGCAATTTTTGTTTTATCGCTTTCTCTGGGTGTCTACTTGATCTATTACACGCTTTGAAAAGTGACACAATATGAGAATTACGAGAGAAGCGAACTCGTCCATCGATCGTTAGTCATTCCGAAGGTTCCTCGAGTTACGGAACAGAACAGAAGCGGAGTTAAAACTGAAGAGATTGCGCGGAATAATGGTTTTTCATTTAACTTCCGCCAAAGGAAAGTTTCCCATCGAAGTCATTATAGGAGCCGCAGTCAACAAAAGCTAGTCGATAAAACGTATAGATATCGGTGACTTTGGATAGCTTCTCCCACCGCAGCTTTGTTTCTCAGCACAGAAAAATGTCGAAAGCTCCCGATGGTTGGGACTGGCGGGGGTTGCCGCCAACGGGAGGACGCCGGCGCGTTGCCGACGCCGCTGACGCCGCTTCGTGGCGAGGGTTGAAGGCGCTTCGGCTCCGGAGAAACGGCGGTGTCACCGCCGCTGTCGGTCAACGCACACGGGTTCACACCCATCGCTGCGGGTGTGCTTTTCTTCCACCCCCGCTCGGTTAGTTAACTCGCGATTCGGCCGGGGGTGACGTTGCGCCGCGAGTGCGTCGTGACGGAAGAGAAATCCGATGAGCGGGAATCGCTCTGGAGCGGTGCGGGACATGTCGATCGCGGGATCTTCGACTTCCGTCGTCGCCGCGCTACCTGGAGCGACGTACATCGCACCGTCAAGGGTGTGAATCGCGCGATGCTGTCGATCGTCGGCGCTGGAAGACCGGGACGTCGATCCCCGCGCTGCGATGCCTCGTAACGATCGTCGCCGCACGAGGGGTGGTAGCGCTATAACGCGAGCAGCTCGTCGGAGGTACGCGCTTCCGGCACCGGCACGACGGGACGATGGCCGGCTGTGCGAGCACGTTCAATAAGACGTGAACCGGTGATCGCTAGGGAGGTCGCCGTAAGGATGTAGGGGGGCCCGCGCTATCGGGCCCCGTGGACCGATATCGAGAGGAAGGAAGAAGAACGTAAGAGATAATTATGTGTTCCTTAGCCCATCTCTCAGGTGGCTCCTCGTTATTGAGCGTGTCTCGTCGTAGTTGCGATTTTCTTATGCCACCCTCGTGTGGAGCATAGATGCCTTTTAGTGTTCGTTTAACGGGGAGAAAGAAAGAGAGTTCTCGACGTAATCAAGTGCGGTCAAAGGCGCGGTTAAATGCGCGTTGCGCCATACGAAAGAGCCGAGAAAAGTGCGTTTCGCGAAAAATATCACCGTTGTGTTAGCAGCGGCCGAAGTAGGTCACGAGGTCGATACTAATACGAAGTGAAGATGCAAGAGGAAAAATGGCATGTGCTAACGACGTTAATAACCGATTTTTCGGCCCGTCCGTACGCTCATAGTGCGAAGTAATTAGTGATTTACCGTGCACGTTGCGCGCGGAGTGCCGCGCGAGCTAATCTAATAGCGGACTACCCACCGAGGATAATCACTAGCGAAAATGGTCGATCTAGGAGGATACATTATTATACTGACGAATGACGACGGGAAGTTCAAGTTGTACGGTACGTATGCAGCCGTTCCGGACCTTGCGCTCCGATACGTGTGTGACGATCAAACACGCTTATTCCTCGATATATATCATGCAATTTTACACTTTGAATCGGATCTTTCGGAGTATTTAAGTAATCTATACTTCGAATCCGCTCACATTCCGTTCCTGCCTCGTTTCATCCATTGTACGTTATCTCGGCCGCTCCGACGAATATTTATTGAATGAGCGCATCATCGTTTCTCCCAACAGACGGTTATTTCTCCTAGAGATTAGCTTCCGTCAGCCTCGCTCGAATATGGCGATTGTGTAGAGAGCTGGAAACTTAAATAGGAAGTGAAAGTTTTCTCGTTAGAGATGATCACACACACGAGCGTCGCATGCTTTCGGAAACGGGAAATGCGCGACGGACGGATTTCCGATTTACACGGCGTGTTACAGTAATGCGCGACGATTTACATGGAGGACGTTTTGCGAGGATGTTATTTATAGGCTGACCTTTATGTTTACTTATCGTAACGAGCGCTCCAAAGAGGACTCGCTTATTTTATGTTTAACCCTTTCCTCATTGATTTCTGTTCAATGATATTCCTCTTAGCTAAAGGTGGCCGTCTTCTCGTTATATTTCGAGGATAACGTCATCGTGAAAAAGATGCGTAACATTGGGAATGTTGGTACAACCTGCGCATATGCTCTGCAGTTTTTATATGTTTCACAAGTGTAAATTAGTCCTCGATAAGTATATTTATCCCGAGGACGTTCAATTAGCAAGCAAGACTAACATTTTCAAAATTTATTATCTTCCTACTGGCGGGAGAGGACAAAGAGGAACGTCTGTCGACAACAACGTTGTCAAGTGTCGTTTTGTAATTTTCTTTTTGGCTTGTACAAGCATATATTTGTCTCAAATCACATTAATCATTAGTAGTCATCTTTTAATGATATCTGAAAATGGGCTCAATGAGATGCTGTAGACATTTGAAACGTAAAAAAACACGTTGATGGATCGATTCGTGTTCTTGACGTCTCTTGATTGAATTTCGCCGGAAGAAAATAATTTTGCGCATCATCCGATTTTGCAGAATTTAGAAAAGGATACGCCATTCGACTGGTTTTATAGTTCGCTTACGGCTCGCCCGATGCTTTTTGAATGGTCGGGCTCATTAACAAATACGTTCGCGTTTGCGAAGCAGATTATGTGTTACATTCACGGATGCTTAAACAGCGATTTCTGTATGCTTTAATGATTCGTTTCACATGGATCATTGAATGCGCCATCGCGTCTGAGTGCACATTGAAATATCCGTTCAAAACAAAACGTCCGTACACGCGGAATATACCGAAATCGTTCGTTACTCTCTTCATTTAGTATCTTTGTCGTTAAAATTCTAAATCATAACGGGATTATATGCTTGTTTTCACGCAGGATCGCCGGCGGATCATGCGGATTCTCTGGAACTGGCTGATGAAATTTTGGAGGTGAACGGTCGCACCTTGGAGAATGCAACGCATAACGAAGTCATTCAACACGTACACCAGGTAATTCATTACAACTTTCTTCTCTTCTTTTTCTCGTAAACTATCGAACTTGAAAGTTGGGGTAAATTAACAAAAAAGAAATCGACACAAGATACATATATTTTCTTTTCATATTCATGTGTTTAATTACACTTAACAAATTGTATTTGTTTATTTCCAGTGTATAAAGTCCCGAACAATATGTCTGCGTCTCCGGAGAAGAAGCGGGAACAAAATGGGTGAGTCGATTATATTTTTGGTATTTGTATTCTCAATTGCAAGCGGTGACTTTTATCGAAACCTTACTCGAGATTATCGAAACTTTAAGGAGAGCAGAAATAAATGAAGCGTGGAAAAGATAGAGTGGTATCTTCTTCGCAAAGTGAAAGCGGCACAATTTCCATGAGATTGTTGATCGGGGATCATTGATAAGTATTCTTAACAAACGTAATAATTAAAAGCTCGCGAAAGACGGAAGGAAGGCAAAGAAATCTAGAATTAATCGGAAGTGGCATAGCCGCTTTTCATTTGAATTCACCTTACGCCTGGTTATTTCAAACGTTGGCTCGACATGTTATTCTTTGAACAAGTGTTTTTAAAGCGAATGAGACATTCCATCTCGCTAAGCCGAACGGTGTTATTGTTTTATCATAAACGTTCCTCAAGCAAACACGCACGAATTCAAGTACATCGGTTGGCTACGATCGATCCTGACTCGCGCGATATCGTCGTTCGTCAGACAAACGCATAACATTTGATCGTTGTGTTAAGCTCGACGACAAAGTTAATAGGGGGAGGGGGTGAAAGTAAGACTTCGGTCATAGATAGCGGATTGCAGCGATATAAAATTGGATTCGATATCGACACATTTCTGCCGGCTCGAATTTTTCTCGAGCGACGATCGAAATTATAGTCGGAGTAACGCTGAGAAGGTTTGAAAAAAGTTTTCCTCATCATGCACACGAGAACATTTTACATAGGTGAATTATACGCATCAGCGGGTTCTCATTGCAATGATTACAACTCGTTTTTGTTCTTTTATACGACAAACGTAACGCAACGATTCGTTCGTATGAATGGCGCCGCTGTATCCCGCGAGCGCGCTGATAACAGGTTTATCATAATCGATTTCAACCTTCTGGATCCGCCGAGCGGATATTATGTGCGAGTTAATTCGTCCGATTCACATCCGTGTCACAATTTGCGCCAGTGTTGATCCAAACTCAATTATTATATATTTCGATTATTCCAATCATTATACTCTTGTTTGTCCGTTTGGTTGGAGAACGTACATTCATTTAAATTTGACCACGCAGCGCACATCTCTGATTGAACGCGATCTCCGGAATTTTCGGGCAGACCCATAAACGTGACAACACACCTGGAATAATCGTCGGCCGCGATTTAATCCGCGTATACACGACAACAAGAAGACGTTTGAAAGGAGGATCTCGCACAGTGGCGGCGCGCGCAAAAATTTGAATGGCGCTCGGCAAAATCATCGGCCGATTTCGGCAAGGCTCGTGCGAACTCGGCGTTCGTCAGGTAAACCGCTTGAGAGGTTGCGTACGGTATCGCGGCCAGGCAGGCCGGGGTGGGAGGAATGGAGAATCGCGGCGATAGGCAGGCAGGTAGAGTCTCAAACGAGGCAACGGTTGCACATGGCGGACCAGGAGGCATAACCTTCGAATGGTATTCCTTGTCACGCTCCGCGCCGCTCGGCAGTACGGAGCAGACATTCGTACGCGCGCCGAGCGATCTGTTCCGCGCGCGCCCTCCGTATCGCGAGGGTACCCACAACGCGCCACGACGACGACGCGGTCGGGAAGATCGTCGCGAATCGCGCGCGACGTGTGTGTTGCGTCCCGCCACGGGAATCGCGCGGATGGACGACGACGACGAGACCTCGTGGGTCGGAGGTGAACGGTCTGTAGCCGCGCGTACGTGAGGAAGGGGTGCGTTCGTGAAAAATCAGTGGTGCCGCGCAGAGTGGTGTTCCCGCTTCCAATACGACGACAACGACTACAGAGGAAAAAAAGGCGAGTCTCTCTCTCTCTCCTCGTCTCGCTCTTTTCGCTCCTTTCTCGGCGCTTTAACAGCGGTCCCGCGTCTCACGGTGACTCTCGCGCTTTCGGGGCCGCGCGGTACCAGAGCGTGCCAATGCTTCTTTCTCCGTTCGTCGTCCTTCCTCTCACTCCCTTCCTCTTTCCGTCCTCCCTCTCTCTCTCTCTCTCTTCCCCCATCTCTTGTGACATGTCGACTTCGCAATACCGCTTATTTCCAATACGTACGTTTTCGAATCGCGCTTGTAACGTTTACGCTCCGGTATCGCGGGTTGTAGCTTGACTTTTATCGCTTACGTCGCACGATCAGTCGACCAGATGTTATTTACATTTTAATCACACGTCGTTTGTTCATTTTCTTTTTTATCTCTCTTCGAACTTTCGTCCGCGCGACATCAGCTTCCTCGGGTTGCGTTGACATGTTGGCACGAGTTATTTTACCCGCGCGAAGATTCCTTCTTTTTCATCTATTTATTCGCTCATTCCATTTTTTTTGTAATCCGACATTATGTTATCCTCGCAGTGAGTAATTATTTAACCCTCTTCGTATCCTCTTCTTTTTCTATCTCGTCACCGATAATTAAAAAGTTCGCGTTAATACATTAGCCTTTTAATTCGATATGAATTCGCACATAGTCCAGGAGGTTCTCATATTTTCTCTCTCTCTCTCCCTCCCAATCTCTACTTGTACACAACACGGCACTTTTACGAAACGTTTCTTACGCCTTGAAAAAAAGCCAAGAATGACTGGCGAATATCTATAACATGTTCGGAGGCGTGAAAGTCGGTGTGTCATGTTCCAGTCCCATCGGTTCTGAATTTTGTTAATCCTTTCAGACCCGGTGTTGTTCGTTATGCAGAACGTCTCTCTTCTCCGTCAATTTTTTTATACATGTAACACATACACACGAATGGATTCGCAAATGTCCCGAAATATTCTTTTTTCCTTCCCGCGAGTGAAGAAGAGGAGAATCGTTGTTCGGCGCGCGGCCGTACTTCCGTGTGCGTACCGGAATGTTTTTTTCCCCGACGGAGGCTAACAATCGCGCTGCGCACGGTGCGTGTCGTGGTGGTGGGCGTATCCGCGCGCGCTCCTGGATGTATACCGACACGTCAGGAAGCGCTGTGTTCTGCTCTGCTCCGCGACGCGCGCTCCCGAACGTTAAGCCGGCGCTGATAAAGGCCGGGAGTCGACCGAATATATACGAACATGAGTCGCATTTTCATTCCGATTGAATCGCGAGAAATGTACACGAACGTCTTATCTTTTCCGTTGACTTTGCGGGGCGTTGGTTTAACAAGGTTAGCCCGAGACGTTGGAAATGAGCCAGTCGCAACAAGTGATATATCGAGCCCCGGTATCCGCCGTGTTTGTCTTTCCGCCGAGTCGTGCGATAAAGGCAGAAATCGATCGGCCGTCCACGTATAAATTAGGCGCGATCACTTAAATCGTCTCGCGCGCGCACTTTCTCTCGTGATGCGCGTTTAATTGTTTCGTCCCAACCTGTTGAATTCCATTCGGATCGTAGGGCGGGGAAAAAAGTGTATGCCGCAATTTTTGCGCGACGTGCGACTAACGAATCGTCCGTGATCGTTATTACATCCGCGTCCCGGATTTCATCGCGCGCTCGGATTCTTTCATCGCGTAGCGGATTCTTCCCCGGCGCACACACAGAGCTTTACGTCATTTGCGATTTGGAAGAACCGGTCAATCCCGCGCGATCGGAAAATGATTTGGCATATTCTCGAGAAGAGCTGACCAACGATTTTCGTTTATCGTGTTTAGCGGTAACACGAATCCAGCGGGCCTTCCATGGCCCGCGAAACACATCGCGCGCGATGATGTAACGCGTTAAATAAGTGTCATGTAATCGTTCGCAGATGTTGCGTTCGTGGTATTTTTATTCCCCGTCTCTATCTTAGATAGCCATCGATGATTAAGTATATTAATTCGCAAAAATTAATTGGATTCTCATTACGGATAATGATTGTAGTTTTTTCCTTCCCAAAGAGAAGAAAAAGAAAGTGTGTGTTACCTTCTCTTTACGCGTGCATATCGCGGATTACTTTCGAGTTAATTTCAGCTAAAAAGTTGATTCGCATCGCGTCATTTAGAACAGATATTTAGACGTATCGTTTCGTATTGATGTAATTATACATCGCATGCTCAACGTATTGGAATACAATGCCGAATAGTGCGCATAGTTTCTCCGGAGAATTCGACTGACAGTCACACGCCAAGATCGCAATCTCGAATTCGATGTAGTTACATCTCGGGGAAACAGTTATCGCGCTCGTAAAAGTTAGCGAACCGTTAGCGATTGTCTCTCTCTCTCTCTCTCTCTATTACCTCCAATAAATTGAGCGATGCCTTTCGTTCCAACGATTTGCCAGCCGTTTCGCGTTATTCGCACCAAATAAATGCTATATCACTCGGCCGTGTTTCTTATTTAAATTGAAACACGCTAAAGCAAGTGCACGAAAGAAAAGTAATCGTTTAACAAAGAGCGGGTGCAAAAAGAAGGAAGAAGCGACTGACTAATCCTTTCTTCGAAAGATGCGAATTCGCAACGTGCACGATTTCCTGGAGATGACTAACAGTGAACATTCATCGCGCGATTTACGTTTTTCAATGATCAAAATTGACGTTGGAATCGACACGTGTATGTTAATTTCGCATCTCTCTCTCTTTGTTTTAGTTGTAGCTCGTTTGGGACGATTCCTCGGACGACGAATGATAAAAAAACGTTGTCCCTCGTTTAAATCTCTTATCAAACGCACGCATGCACACACAAATCGACAGTAAGTTCGAGCGCGTCACGGCACAGAGTCAAAACATTGTAAACCATAGATTAAATATCCGGACATCGCCAGGCATCTTGCTTTTTGTTTGCTCGACTACGTTGCGCATATATATATATACACACACACACACCATTGTGGTGAGTCTTATACAGTTAGAAAACTGGTTTTCGCTTCCTCCTGCCGTCAAACCGTGCCGTTCATACGATCGAAACCGTCTTGCGGATCGGTACACTTTAGTTTCCACTTGTGTTTATCCGTAGGAGACGCGGAGGAAAAAAGAGCCTCGGACATTATTTCACGACATTTGAGAAAAGGATGCGAGAAAGTCGGCCCGTTTCAAACACCAACTTTTGCCAGCGTTATCCCGCGTTGTACCTTTCCATTTCTCCACTTTCTCCGTTTCCGGAGCGGCATTAATCATCCGCGAGTTAGCCGCGTTGTTCAGCTATCGTTTATCTTTCGAAAAGCGTTTCAGCTTACTGACACTCGTGTGGAGCCTTGACGGTGCCGCGCACTCGACGTGTGCGAGCATCTAGTTACCGTTCCACGACCAAGTAGATTCCGCCGGACCATTTGACTCCCGACGTTGATATCGAGGCAATGCATTGCTTGACCCGAATTTACCGAATTTGTGAACGTAGGCGCCTCTCCTATCTCCGCCGCTGCCTTCGCGCCTCCATTGTGCGCCTCCGTATTTAACGTCAAATGCGATTTGATTCTGTTGTGTGAATGTCGCATTCATTGCACAAACATAGCAGTTCTTGCCGTTTAAACGCGAACCGTAGCTACTGCTGTCGTCGTTGTCGCCGACAAAGAATTTGCACATTAATTACGTATATATTAATTGCGTTATTAATTTGCACATAATTAATTTGCACGTTAATAAAGTGATACTGTACCGCTGCGCCGCTATTATTACTATACAGTAATACAATATTGGCGCGCTGGTAATACTCCCATAATGATTAATATTTTATGTATCCGTGCGGTTTCGCGACTATATCGAGTTCTCTCTGTTCGCGGAGCGATTTGACGCTTCTAACGTGCGAATCGCTTCCTTCGAGCGATATTCGTTTGATGCCGGCGGATTCTTTGACTTTGCGCGTGAAAGTTTCGCTTCTCGTTCCTTCCGAAAGTAAATTCAGCAAAGCTTCTGGCTCTCTCGCATCGTGCTATTCACGCTGTCAGGAACGTTTCACGACGCGACTGAAAACAAGTGGAATACGAGGACTGTTTTCGAGATGAAAACACACTTTCGCCGAATTACCGAGCCACGTTTGAATACGTTTTGGAACCGCGCCAAAACATTTTGAAAAGGAACCAGAACGGAGGAGCGTCGTGAATTTTCTGCGTTACACACACACACACACACACACACCCCTCTGTCGTTCGGCGGCATACAAAAGGCTTTAAGGTAATGATTGTAGCAGGTAGTGACACGGAAAGCTTCGTGCGGAGACTAGAGCTTTTCAGATGATATGCAATCGCACGCTGCCGTGCACGAGACAAAGTACGAACAACGCGCGATATGCGTCAATCTTATACACACCGACTGACATCCCAAACTCGTCGCATAACACAGCTGCCATGCGAAAATTCGTTTTTCATCCAGAGACACCGTTGAACTGCGAGCGAGTGAGGAACAAAGGAGGCTCGTTGGGACTAATTCGACGAATCGCACATTATATTTGACATTAATTACTCCTCGCATCGCGAAGACAAGGCCCGTGTCACTCAAGGAGGTCGGACAAATTCGGGAGTTCGACTGATAATTATTCTCATTTTTGTTATTTCGAAGCAAGAAGCGGGGAAAGTATGCAGAATTAAATTGGAATTCTTGTTCGCGAATTCTCGACAGTAAAAAATGTCTCGAGGTTGGTCCCTGGAACGAAAACTGCCGCAGACGTACATTTAATCAGCTTCTCCATTCGCACCAAAGCGGATTGTGAAGAAACCAGGTCGGGGATCGCGTCAACTCGTGGCAAAAAGAATGAAACGATCTTCGAGAGAGAAAGAGGGTCTGCCCGTATTTTAGGAATTTGTGGATGGTCCGACATATCGATTTTCGGCCTTTATTCCCTCGGTCTTTCGCGAAAATTGTCTATCGCGAGACTTTGGCACGAATAATATATAACTTATAAAATATTCTGTCTTTGTTCGTGCCGCGTTAAGTGCGTTGAACTGGCGCTCTCTCTCTCTCTCTCTCTCTGTCAATTTTTATCGTCTGTGCCAGCGAGTAGTTCCAAATATAAACTCCTTCGTGAATGCGTCTGTGCTATCCATTCTCAGTTGCCGGCTGCGGGCGGAGAGTTTATTTTCTAGTTTCGTGACACGTGCACGCGAATACCGTCGTCTTTCGGAAAAGATTTCGGCGTTCTCACGCGGTATTCGATATCAACTTGCGAACAGCTACGATCGCAGCGAGTGTAAATTTGGTGAATTTTGCGCGGACTGCTAATTACGACTATTGAAACAGCGCGTTAAAAAGAATCCTTCTGCAGCAGTGTGAGGAAACATTGGCGCTCATTTAGTCAATTAACACGGGAAATTTCCTTGGATTTGCGCGGTGATAGCGGACGATTTTTGCCGAGCGTAAAGTTACGCGAAATAAAATTCGCGTAAAAAAAGTAGATATTTCTAGTCGCATTATTCCGGTATGCTCTTATTAATAGAACGTGGTTAAGAATAAGTCTAAATCAATGCAGTTCAATGCCGATTAATTAAAGCGTTGCAGAGCAGCAACATCTCGTCCGCAGAGTGCGTACCGTTGAAATTTGTCGTTTCTCCCGTTGAACATGTCGAAATTCTTTCGCAAGTTGCTCTTCTGTGGTTGCGTATCGCGGCCCTCGGCTCTCGACAGCCGGTCGATCGTCGTCATGGACGAGTCGATCGTGGACGATCCGCCGAAATTCGCGGAACTGTTGAATTATGACGCGCAATCCGACGACGTGGGGAAGCATTTTGATCTGTCGACTATAAAATTCATCGACGACGAGGAAGCCGAGGAAGATGCGTCCCGCACTAAGAACGGTAGCCGACGATCGATCAGATTTTTCTTTTTTTATAGAAAAGTGGGTTGATACGCGGTAGGTTCGCGTTATTCCCCGCTAAGGGACGATATAAATAACCTGCGGCAGGCAAAAAATTACGAGGACAATACGGGCTTTACGCGCGCGTACAAAGTTTTGTGCACGGGCGTATTGCTCGTGTGTGTGCAAGGGCTGAATTCGCGCCGGCACTTTGAGGGACGGTCCTCCCGCTCTGACCGCGCGAGGGAAAAAGTGCGGGGCAAGGGAGATATTAAATTAATGGAAACACGCCGGGGTAAATGAGAAAGGCAGGGAGAATTTGTCAGGCTCACGAAACGCGCTTCATTCTGCTCTCCGTTACAGCCGCGGCCGGCCGCCACCATATAGCACCGCGGCCCGGTAATGGGTCCTTTGACGCACGCTAAATATGCGATAAATTTGCCTAATTAATTCTTCGTGAATTCTCGACAGAAAAGCTGGACGGGCTAAACGTTGGGCGGATAGAAGACGCCTGGGTTATCGCCGTCGAAAGGTGAGATAATGAACGTCCCACCCCGCCAAGGTGTCTGCAAGGCGAGGATCTAACGCGCTTCTAGTAAATATGTTCCCGGAATCGATTAAACGTCATATAAAAGGCGCTAATGTCCAGAATGTCGGGCGAATGTGTTTTTGATCGAATGCATCATCTAAATGTCACGCATTCGAGCCGATAATGACAGTTCGCGACGGGGAGATGTCGCGAAATCAGGAAGTTCATTTTCACACACGAGTATTTTTTCCTTCATCATTGTCCCCCCCGTTCGAAATATTGATCTGGGACGAGCGTGTTATCTTGTGTGTAGGGCGGTACCGCAGCAGATATCAATAATACAATACGACTCGTTGAGAGACGCACAATACGTGCCGTAAATATATCTGCAAGTATTCTCTTGTTTTTTTCCTCTTCTCACGGCCGTGGAATTTACCCCTTTCAGTTTCGTTCGAACGTGTCATCTGTCTCGGTCGCGCTAAGATTGCATCGCTCAATCGTGTTCTTTTTCATCCGAGAAGATTGCGTCCGTTAAATTCCACCGTTTCCCGATCGCACCGATTATCGCCTCCTTCCGACGGAGTACCTTTAATAGAAGCGGATGATCTCTTGTCGCGAATTAGATTTCGCAAAAAGATTTCGATCGCAGTTTATAAACGGAATTACATCGCGTTTCCGAGAGAGAGAGGCTGAAGCGGTAAACATTAGATTCACGAGTGCGACGAAGACGGTGTGACTCACTTTAGTATCTTGTTCGCCTTCCCGAGGATAAACGCGACGGCTTTTCAAACTGACATTTTCTCTGCCTGCAGAAGCGCGAGGGAGAGGCTGCAGAAACTGACGGCACTGAAGAAGATTCAGCCGCGCGACATCCAGGCTATTTTACATCAGCAGGTACGTGAGACGTAATTAATCAAATCGCCCGTCGATATCGCGATCCCGCGTCTCACCGCGTCGCACGAAAAAACTCACCTTTTACACTCCAGAGCCGAACTCGGATTCGCCCTGCGCGAATGATGCTTCGACTTTTTCAAGTATTTCTTGAAAATTCAAAACATTGCTTCCCTGAATCTTTACCAACACAGCTCGTCATAAATTCAGTCAGCATCCGAGACCTTCGAGAGCGGCCTTAATCGCCGTCGACAGAAATGACAAACTCGATCGCGCATAAAGAGAAGCGCGTCAAAGGACATCGCGTTCATCGCGCGTTGTCCTCCAACGATTTTTATTCCCCTCGCGTCGGAAATACCGCGGCGCGCAAATGAATCGATCGGCCGCGAGCGAAATCGTTACGGAGGCTGCTTATGAAACGTGGAATGCGAAGCGCGGAGAGTAGTGAGAGGTGAACCCGCGACGATTATGCGCGGCCTTGCGTACGTACGGGAGCGGTGTGTGCGTGTCTCTCTGCACTCGCTCGCGCCCGAAACCCGGCATCTCGATTGCGCAATAACGAGTTCCAGCGATCGTCGATGACGCCCCCGTGTGCCCGGCAGAGGCGTCATCGCCGAGAGGAAATTACGCGGAAAGAGTAGTACGCCGGAGAAAAAAAAAAGGAACGCGACATTCGCGCGGTGTGAAGGTATTCCTTTGCACGGCCGTTTCAAATTTGAAACGCATCGACAATGTTTGATAGTGTGATGTACATCATGTTTGACTTCCTATCAATTACAAACGGCTTGCTTTCTCAGATCGTTAATCTTGCTTTATATGTAATTTATCTCGAAGAGGATGCAATCTTTAATTTGGGTAATGTGTGAAATACAATTGAATATAACGATGTTATGTCAAATGAACGAATAATTTTAAATCACCGCGCTACGTCAGCTGTTATCCGAAACTGACTTTTGGAATAGTGAATTTCTCAGCGTCGTTGCGCACGCTCGCTCGTTCGGTTCGGGAGAAAAGTTCCGCGCATTGTTCGTTATTTACCGCGTTGAGATATTTTCGAGTAGTATGCGGGATCGTTTCGCGTGATACGGCATGCGGGTTTAAAATCTTGCAACTCGCGCATCTCGTAGCGCGCATACCGCGAGAAACACCGTCGGAAAATGTCTCGCAACACCGATCGGGCCGAGTTTCCTCGATATTACCATCAGCCGTATCGTTCCCAATACTGGCTTAAACAAGGGTGTGTCGCGGCTTTTTTTTAATATTAATACGCAATTCATTTCAATGTTAGGGGCGGAGATAACGGGATTGGCGGTGTCATTTGGGAAATTGTTCGGTCATTTTGTCAATCTTTTTTCCCCGACATCGGTGTTGGGACGGTATCGTGCACTGAACGAGACGCTTAAGAAGACGTTCAGGTTGATGAGCCCTCGTCTAAAAACGGGTGTCCACACGTAATCTAGGCTGAGATGTTTATCTGGAAAAAGAAAAGGGAGGAGCGGTTTCCCGCTAAATTGTTGTTGCTCCCTTGAAACTAATGTCACGCGTTAAGAAAGAGACCATTGGCGCGCGAAGGTAATTAGCACCGGCGCTATTGTATATATATTTGAGGGAGGACAATTACAAGAAGAGTCGTTAGTATTCTTCCCTCTTGACGATATCCATTGTGACATTGTCCCGCATTCGCTCACTTCGCGTGTTTATCGTCGCTGCGCAGCAGCACGGCTGACCGGTTTCCAGCTTCACTTATGCAATACGACGTGCAATGTTGACGATTAATTTTTTTATTATGTTACCGTGTTCGTGACGAATCAATCCGCCTGGTTGGAGGGTCTGACATTGATATCTTTTAAAATTAGCTTAAAGCGACGCATGGCCGCGGATACGATTCACGCGTTGGAGGTGAAAATAAATGTGTCTTCTTCTTTTTTGTTTATGTTGACACAAAAATGTGAAGTGAAACTGTGTGATCGGCTTTTGCCGTTATTCATGAGGCTAAATTGAATACGTACTACTGTCACATGATCGCGGTGTAGCTATCCATTCGATGAAATTTTTAATCGAATGAAAATGCAACTGTGATAGGATTTACCGTTCGCTCCGAGTGTATCGCTGAGATACACTAGCGAACGCTTATTTGTCAATTAATGTGTGCTATTTAGCGCCGTTTATGGTGAATGTTTCAGATAAACGACGCGGTAGCGTCCACGAGCGAGGAGTCGGCTCCGAAGGACGTGACGAATGACCAAATTACGTTTACTTTGGCGGACAAGTGAGTTACATTGTTTTTATATAACCACTGTCCTTAAACTGGACAAACCTGTTAATTTTTAACGCGGTGCAAAGCATCATATATGGATAGAAATTATGATTTATTTACCATCGTATTACATCGGAAAGGCAACCTGGTTGTGACTTTGGTTGTACGGGATCTTCGTTTTTAAACTTCTGCTTAAACAGCATCATCATTTTTTCACGGTCCGCGTACCTAAGTTAGAGATTAAGGATAATTTGCGTCGAGGATATGGCAGAACGATGTTCCTTCACGGGCGTAATGCTCGTAATTAATTTCCGAAGACTTAATATCTCTCGGGGATGTTCCTGTCAAAGCGTAATAAACCTCCAGTGCCTGTTGTAATCGGGAAAATACACGCAACGCCCATAGGAGGCGTCGTTACGAAGCGGATGCGACAAATTGCGATTGTCGCGATTGATATCCTTTCACAATGCGTTTGCGCGGCCCATTTTTTTGTTTTCGATACAATAGCGAAAGTCCCGGGGAGGGAGCGTTCCTTTTTATAATTATCATTTATCGGTGACGGCTTCATTAATTCGTCCTGGGCTTGATTGTTTCAGGGAATTGGGGACGAATGCTTTCTCCACGAAACTTAGCAACGGTACGATTCCCAAGGGGTTAGGGAAAGAGGCGGAAATCCGAGTGGAAAACACCTCGCAGGAACGGAAGGACACTTTGGAGAAGCAACACAGCTATCCGGAAGAGCCGAACCTCTTGGTTAGTAATAGCGCGAATCTTCATTTCTCCTCGAATATATGTGCGCGGATAATCATCCGTGCGCTTAATTGTGCATTCCTTCCATCGCGACGGCACTGATAGCGCGTCGTCGCTTACATAAGCACATCCGTTGGATTTCTTAAGCAATTATTAAACAGTTTCCCGGAATAGTAAATCGCCATTGGCAGTTTATCGTGCTTAATTGCCAACGTTGAGCACGTTAATAAGCGCCTCCTCGAGCTACTATTATTTATGTTCTATAGAACGAATTAACGGTCGAATAATCGCATAATTTCTTTTTTATCATCATGTTCCGATGTGTTGATTTATTCGAATGAGATGAAGCGGATGTCTCACTAAAAGTACCGCCTTTTTAACTCGAGACCTCGAGAAAGTATACAACAAAATTTTATTGTTCGTTTAATTTAAATTCAATTTACCCGGGCAGAATTTTAATTCACGACCCAGTTGCAGTTACAAAGCTATTTAAAGCGGAGCGTTACAAAGTCACGAGCGAGACGGTGTCTAATTAAATTTTCGTTAAGGAGAAATTTGTGCTGCAAATTGATCAAAGGGCACATAGACGGGACAAGGTGTGTCTCCCTCTGTCGGATATCACTCCCGTTAAAAACACAAAATTGTTTGCCCCTACAGCAACCGGTGCAGAGCGGGAGAATCGGTGAACGTCGAGCGAGCAGCCCTTTCCAAAATGGTCGGACGGAAGTGCTGATCGGCGAGCCGGAGGGCGGCCCGAGGTCGCCGCGGGGATCGACGTCTTCGGCGGTGAACGACGGCAATTTCCTGAATCCACCGGACGAACGAGACTATCCTGAACCAATTTGCAGGCAAGTACATCGGACTGTGAGCGAGGGAACTTTTTACGCTCCGTGTCCTCTAAGTCGCTTAATCGGCTCTCTCCGCCATTGCGACATCGTCCTTTACACGTGTCGTGCAAACGACGCTTGTATTTCGACGTTTCCTTCGCTAAAACATCCGGCGTATCTTTACATAAATTCGATATTTTAAAGGTTTTATTGGTGCCCGCTCATTAATTACCGTCGTTCACTTATCCGGACGCGTAATTAATGACCGATATCGCGCCGCGTGTAACGGGATGATTGAGTGGGGTCTTGGCGAGAGCGCGGCTAGGTCGACGAGATATAATTTCGTGCTCGCAACTAGCGCGCGCGCTTTATTAACAACTGTTTGAATTTTAATTCTTGACTCAGATACCGCTCGCTCTGTCGTATCTTCGACAGACAGTTGTTCGCAGTGAGAGGAGAGGATCTTATTTCAGTTTTATTCTCTCCCTCTCTCTCTCGAGTTTTCAAGTCTGCATGTTCTGCTTTACCGCGACGGGATAAATTCAGCCGACGTCCGCAGGATGTCGCCATCAGCGTACTTAGCGCGATCTTTTAAAATCAGCCAGAACTCCCAGTTACCGAGAGATGCGAAGGCTCTACGAAGCGTTACGACGTGGCGCCCCACTTTTCACACTTTTTATGTTTCGTCATGTTTTACAACCGCGCGGCACTGCGCTCCATCAGTCAACATTAACATAGGAATACAAACTGTATCAGAAAAAAGATTTCACCGCTCGCAGTTTTTTTTCTCCGTAATTTACTGCGCGCACTATTTTCCGGCGAAATCCAATTCGAACGGTTTGCAGAAGCAGGCGTTTAATGCAAGCACTGAAACACGTACGATTATACGTTCACGGTTTCTCGATCGATCATGCGATTAAGTATCAGCGAGTGGGCTAATCTAAAATGCAACGTAGGAGACAAAGTCCGCAATCAAGGCGGAATCGATCAGTGGAGAGCGCGTCTCTAGTCGATAGATCAAATATTCTCTCTCTCTCTCTCTCGCTCGTTCTCTTCTAAATAATAGTCCGCTGAAATCCCTGGCACCCGAGTGAGGGCCGACTCACTCGACAGAGTCACTTCGCCGGTATTTCACGCTCGCGACACACCCACCCGAGTGCCGGTGTGAGTGCAGCCTAAACAATGCGTTTTCCAGTCCTCGGTATGCAGCGTCCCGACAGAGCTGCCTCCTGATCCCCCCTTCCTTTCTCTCTTCTTTTCTTCTCTCGTTGGATTTCGCGACCTCGCTCCTCCATTCTTCATCTCCTTCTCTCCTCGATCCTCTCTCGGCTTTCTCCTTCCTACCTTTCTATTCTTCTTTATTTCTTTCTTTCTGTCCGTTTTCTCTTTCGCACGAGAGGGATGCACGGTATGAGGCGGAGAAGAGAGACGGCACGAGTAGTTGGTATCCGTAGCTTCTCTAATTTCTCCCCGAGAGCGAGGGAATTTTTCTTATCGCGCCGCGAAATTTTTTCCCCTCGCGTTATTTTCACGCTCGGTGCGCAGTATCCTTCCTGTCCACGAAGAGCGTGTCCTTTCGCGCTCGCGATGTTTCAGGAACGACGACAAGAGCTCGTCTTGGTGTTCCTCCTCCTCCTCCTCTGTTTCGCATTTCTCTCTCGGACGCGAGCTCTCGAAATGTAATTCTTCGCGAATCCTGCCGCGAATTTCCCGTTGTCTCGCGTTTTTTCGCAACGTCACCCGTCTGATTTTCTAATTTAATAAACAGAAGCACGACTCTCTCGTCGCTCGGCGAGGCTGTTAAAATTTCGCGATAGTTCTTCGTCGTTGTCGGACGCATCGGACAACGAAAGATAAACAATAATTAACGGCGCGTGGAAAGTTTAATGGTGTCATTACGAGACGCGTCGGCGAGATGGACGGAAATCACTGTCAACTTATTCATGAGCTCGCGCAGAACGGTGCGAATGAATGCGCGCTATTGACACGAGGTACTTTTAACGAGAGCCCGTCGTAAATGGCCTCCGAAAATGAATGCTTCCGTCGAGGATGGCCACTCGCAAAACGTCCAACAAGCGATCTTTGAGAGGAGTTGGTATCGCCCTTCTTCGGGATCGTGATCGGTGCATCGCGCCCCAGTTTCCCCGCCTTCAAAGCCGAAAGATGCATTTCATGCGCGGCGCGTTCTAAAAGCTCGTAGCTATTGTGGCTAACGCATTTTTTGGCAGAATTCCATTTCAGGCATGTTGGTTTTTTTTTCTTTTATTAGTACACATCGCTGTGTATTCCGAAGCACTCCGTATCCTCCCAGACCGCCAAATATTTTTGTCACCACCGTCTAATTCGTTTTTCTCCTGAAACAGAATAGCGGGATGTTATAATCGTTGTCTGATAGTGGAAAAGGAGAATCGACGAGCAAACGCGATAGCGCGGACAAATTTTCGCGAAAAGTATCCACACGTTTAATATCTTTCGCGCGTCTCCGTAATCCCGCGTCAACCGTTATCCGAGGCGCCGATATCGATCCGCTCCTTCGTAATCGATATCGTACGGCAACTGCGTTTATGCGCGTCCGTTGACATTTTTTCACGTCGTAGCGGGACATTTGCATTGAACAGATCGAGCGACGACACATGATTGCCTTAAAAGTACGACAGTGTACCGTGATCCAGTATGGAGTAACCTTCGCCGACGTGTCGTCGCGTTACATCGAATTCTCGTGCATTGACGTTACTTTTTTTTATTTGCGCATACTGTGAAAATATTATCGAGAATGACTGATAAAGGAATCGCATTTCGCGAATATCTCAATTCAGGGAATATTTCAAGCGGAATATTCGTCGCGTGAAAATCTCCGCGAACGAGACATCCGCGAGCCGTTCTTTTATTTTTTTTTTCAAACCGGTCGGAAAAAGCGGATAACAATTTGTGCGGGAACGTGCTAGGCTCGCGGTCGATCTGCACGACGGCAGCCGGAGGGGGGCGATTTCAAGCGCATATCTATGATTGTGAACGTTCCTTCTCGGTGCAACTATAGCGGCTAGAGTTCCTCTCGTTATAGCGCGCGCGGTGGCATCGGCTCCGCTGTGTGTGACACAGCCACGGAATACCGATTGCTCACTCTCCCATGGCGTTTCCTGTTCCGACCACGTATCCCGCTTTCGAAACGAAAAAAAAAAAAAAACACGCAGAAGGAGGAAGAGAGCGATGCGTGGATGGGCGGATGCCGCGGGAAGGTGAAACAGCGGTAGAGAGAGAGGATCGACAGGGAGGAAGAGATGGAGGAGGGTATAGGTGGTGCAATGTGGATGACAAGGATCGGCGACGTTGTATATATGTACCGACGACACGCCTGCTGCCCATTGTTCACGTCTAACGCATTATGCGCATCATTCATGGCCTTTTACGCCGAGTCTGTGCGCCAAGTTCACGTTAACTCTTTCGAACAGTGATCTGAAGTCAGGTAGATTCTACGCGAGGGGAGAATTCCTTCCACGGGAAGGTGGAACGAAAGAAACTGCATTACTTATCCATGAGATCTCTCGTTTTTACGCGAGAAAAATTCATCTCATATCTCTCACTCTCTCTCCTCGCGAGATTATCGACGAAAAACATCTAATTGCTCGTATCGTTCTTTCGCGCGTCATACGTAACATACGGCCGCGCTCTCCCGCGCACGCGCATTTTTCTTCATTGCGCTCTAATTTTTTGCACCTCCGAGGAAGGCAATAACTCCGTGCGAGTTCCTCCGACTGTCAGCCGCTCTTCTGGAAGAGAGATCGGCTGCGCGACTTATGGCGATCCAGGTCGGTTACGTTCGGCGGATAACCCGGAGATGTGCGTTTCTTTAAATATCACGATGTTAAAGTAGAACTGTGCAATGAGACGCGGAATAGGGTAGTGCGTTCGGACGAGGAAATTCCGGGCTCTGTAATCTTTCGAGACGACTGTCGTTCTTCCCTGACCTACTATCGATATAGCGACAGAAATAACATACCGTACATTTACTCCGTACATGTAATCGACATTTTAAATGTCGCGAAAACCAAGCTGCCGTAACACGCATGGAAAAAATGACGAAAGATCAAATCACTTTTAACAATGTTATATCGCACGCATCAGTAAGATCCCAGTGGGCTATTCTAATTGACGTTTAATACACGCGCGATGAAATGAAATGGAACTTTTGTTGTTAAGTCACCGTTCATAGAGAGGAAGCAAATTATTAATACCTTACCGCCTGGAAGCCTATTAATAAGCTTTGTATATATAGTTGTTTTTAACACGATTTGAACATTTTTTTTTAACGTGGTTTTGGAATATATCCGAAAGAACTTTGAATCGTTTCCAGAAGCAACGACAGTATCGAGGAAAAAAGCGTTCAAATTCCGTGTTGTTGAAAGCAAATACAACGGCGATGTCGGTAAAGCAAAGTGTTAATAATCCCTTGCTTCCTACGTACCGTTCGTCGGCCGCGAATTTCGATTTTCACGGGAACGTAACAGATACGCGCGGGACATTCGAAGGTTTTCCGACTGTTCGATCCTCTCGAGCAAACTCGTCATGTCGTATAAAAATCATGCGTCGAATAATAATATTGCTGCATAGAAATTGTTCCTCACGTTAATTTCCCACGAAAGAGTATCTCCGCATAAAAGCGCTCGTATCTCCGGTCGGTGGAAAGTATAGAAAGAAAGCGGCGGGTTTAACGGTTCGAATCCCACTTTTCCGGCGGCGAACGAGAGCGCGCGCGTTCGACGAACATTCGATGCTTGCACTCGCGCATTGCAAAGCTGCCGCTCGTCGGTCCCGTGGAAATATACAGATTAAGATACGACCACGCTGTCATTACGTTACGTCACGTTATGTTATTTGTACGATGCGCCCGACGATTATACAATTACCGCGGAGAAAGAACGGCCATGTCTGAGGCTTCTTTGAGGGGAAAAAAAGGGACGAGAACGGAACTATTATTTCGAAAGAATTTATTAAACGAGCGAGTTTACCTGACGCGGTAATGA